AGAGAGACAGAAAGCGAGAAATCACCCCCCGGGGGGATGGTCACGCCACAATCCCTTCTCCATTCTCCTCTCGGGATCTTGGGCATGCACACACACGCGCCCGGCGTGAGTTTTAAGCCACCGCGTCCGAGACGTGAACCGTGGTCGACTACGTGGGAGTCCAGCGACATAGCCATTACGCTAACTGCTGGTTCCTGGCAGAGCCCACTTTTATTCTGACCAGTCGTTTGGCCTCCTGTTGGCTGCGGTTGTCACTCCCCTACGAGAAAGTCCTTCACCTACTCAGATGCCATTTCTCAGACGACATTCCCAACCCCAACTTACAGTCCCATAGACGCCATTCCCTGCTCGTTTTCACAGTAACCAGCTGCCGTGCCATTCCGTTCCATTATTCCACCTCGCTAGCACGGTTCCTGTTTGTAAGTCAGGCCAGCTCACAGCCTCCGAGAGCAGCAGCGATGTGTGTGTTTGCACCTCCTGCTCGCCATGTGCACCTTCGTGGGCACATGCTTACCGCTCATGTGTGAATTACGAGTCAGTACATCACTGAGGGTCATCCAGCAGACCAGAACACCCTCGTAGTGTTCGCACACACGTACCTTTGTGAGTTGTGTGCTGCTTCTGAGTCTGGTTGCTCGAGCGTAGGCTCCTGGCCTGGTAACCAGGTGAGCCTGCCTTTTCCCTGCCTCCACACTGACTCCGAGCCGGCGGGCATCTCCACGCTCCTGTGATCTCAGAGGCCTTGCCAAGACGCAGGCCACTCCTTCCTTCCCTATGAATGAAAATATCCTCAACGTCCAAAGCAGCACTTCGTTTTGTTATGTTGTAATGTCAGGGATATGTGCTATTCTAGCTTGGGTCTTTTAAATGCCTTTCTAAAACATAATCGCTTCTTCTCCATTCTTCTCTCCTTCCCAAACCCCTACCCCCATATTGCATTTTCCTGTCAATAGGTGCAGCTCATCATGTTTGATTTTCCTTGCAGGTAATGATGTGGGTCCATCCTCTTCAAGTAAGACCACAAACAAGTTCGAGGGACTGTCTCAGCAGTCAAGGTAGGCTGGCTTTCTCTCTCCTGCGAGTGACGGGACAGTTATGGAAATGGGTTTTAGTGGCTTCTCCAGCGCTCAAGTGTGGTCTGCCAACCGACGCTGGTTACAGTGGCTCTCAGCTCCCTGCAGACTGTGTGTTTGAGCAGCATGGTCCTCTCCATCCACCCATCCGGTTATAGGCAGGGAACTAACCTCTTTCCTGGTGGTCACAGAGTCTTCTGATGATCTTTAACAAAATCCCTGTCACCGTGAGTTTTTATTTTTATTTTTGATATTTTAATAAGGTAATTTTGTTACTGTTCCACTTGACACCTCTCGCAAACTTGAGAATGAAGGTACTCCTCGGGGAAATCTAATGACCCAGTGATTTTCAACCATTGAAAAACGACTTTCCAGGTCCCCTATTTTTATGGTTTCTTGTAGGCTGGACTTAAACAATCTGCTTTCTCCTTTCCTTTCACTGAAATGGTATTCTGTGGGAGAGCTTCAATAGCATTACTCATCGAACCCTGCTTCAGGAGGTTTTCTCTAGCGGTGTGACCTGAGACAAGGACAGAGAGACTGGCCAGCCACATGTACAGCCGTAACACGGTGCTGCATGGTGCAGAGCCATGTGGGCAGGTCTTAGTTTACATCCCATGGTCTCCCTGTACATGCCGGGGTGGCGGTGTGCCCATGATCCTGGCTGGCCAAGTCTGGAGGTGGATGAAAGCAGGAAATAAACTTGAAAAAGAGGAAGAGAGAGATAAGAGTTAGTTCTAGACCCAAAACCTCAAGGAAAAAGGCTACATAACCTCATTTCTTTTTTATTGTTACTTTATCTTTTCCTTATTTTTTACATTCAATCACTTTATATCTTTGCAACATTGAAAATGAGTTTTCCCAGCACGAATACCCTGCATATTAGTCCAGTCAAAGAAATTACTATACACGTTGTCATGAACACATACTTCTACTATTTTTTAAAATCTGTTGAATTTTTTTCCCTTGATTCTCCCCCCTCCCCCTCCATTTTCCACCCTTGTTCCATAACCACTTTGGAGAACAATATGGGGGTTCCTCAAAGACTTACAGATATTAATAGAACTACATACGACCCAGCAGTCCCACTCCTGACTATCTACCCAAAGGGTAGAAGTACACTCGAAGAACCTCATTTCTCTTCATGCTACTTTCTGATGTAATCTCTGTTGCCCTGTGAGATAGGCTCTGTTACTGTTATCCTCAGTTTACAGCTGTGGAGACCAAGGTCCAGTGAGGTTGAGTGGTAAGTGCAGGTGTCAGCTCCTGCTCTCCAGCCCACGGGCCTGCAGAGTCTCCACGTTCCACGTTTGCCCACTACCCTCTTGCCCTGCCTGATGCAGTCCTTTTTCGGCCTGCTTTGGGCGGCCCTGTGAGTTCTACTGGTCTTCTGAAGTAGAGAGAGCATCAGACACACAGAAAGAAAGCACTCATAAAGGGATTTAAGCAGAGTCGAGCTGATTGGAAACGAGCCATTTGGCAGTTCATGGAGTTTTCTGTTCCCCTGACTGCCCTGCATATGCACACATATGTGTATATGTACACATGTGCACGCAGCACCTGGTAGTTGTTTCTGATAGGAGGAGCCCAGGTCTAACACACACAGCACCTGTGCAGGGCTTCCAGTGGGGAATCTGAGCATCTAGGCTTTGGCCGTAGTGACGAGGCCCAGAATGACTATTACACTCTCATCGGCAATTTGGCCGCTGTGCTGCCCCGAGGAGATGCCCAGGCAGGGCAAGATGGGCAGGCTCTGGAATGCTGTTAGCTGCACCCGCCCACTCACATGCACCATTCCTCATTCAGTAGTGGCCTTATCTCCACAGGACCAACTGCCAGGCACCTGAAGGTAGCAGGGCATTCCAGGCGAGCTGAGGAAAGATCAGCTTAGGCCATAGGTGTTCAAAGGCCAGGAGAGGAGGGCTCACACACATTTCATCTTCTTTCTTAGACGCCTTTGTCTTTGGTTGGTTGATTGAGCTTTTTCTTTTCTTTAAATGCAGTCAGGATAGAGGAAACAGCAGCCAGAGGTCTTAGGACAACAGAATAGAGAAGGAGAAGATAAAAGGGATCCCTGAGGCCCAGCAGGTGGCCTGGTGGTTAAGGTGCTGGACTCCCACATGGTCAACCACAGTTCAAGTCCCAGACCTGGCTGCTTGCCTTCCCCTCTTTGGCTCTCTCTGATGAGCATGTGTGCCAGCTGTAGCAAACTAGAAAATAATAAATGAAATAAATAACCACTTAAAATTAAAAACGAAAAATGGAGTCCTTGACACGTCAGGTTCAGGCACTTGCTTGTCCTGCTTTTCAGGTGTTGGTGTCCTCCGAGAGTCCCTACAGTCTCCCGCTGAAGGAGAACAGTGCCTTCCAGCTAACAGATGCTCGTGCAGCACTGGCATGGGGGTGGGTAGCATCAGCTTGTGCAGACAGCATGGGGCGGATTCGGCTCCAGGACTTGGATGCTCTTCCCCATTCATTCACATGGCCTCCAAAAGGAGGGCAAGGCTGGGGAAAGCCCAAGGCTTGAGAGCCCCAGCTGTTCGCATTGGTGCAGTGGGGTGCAGAGCAGGGCTGATTTTCCACCAGCTGGCCTCGGGGCTGTCTGTCCAGCTGATGCCCTACACACCTGACGCTCCTCAGCTGAGCATGGGGACGGAGGAGCTGCTCACAGGATCCCAAGATGAGCTGTTTCCATGTGCCACATCGGCATCACTGTGTGCCATGTGCCACATGCTTTTATAAACACCAGGGCCTCTGGGAAAGGTTTGGAAATGGAGGAAGAGTTTGTCTTTATTGTTGTTTTGTTTTCATTTGCTATAGGGCACGTGTACACACCACAGAGAGACAGAAAGAAAGAAAGAGAAAGCGAGCCACCAGGTCCAGGGCATATACTGGTCGGGCATGTGGAAGTCCAGAGCCTTAACCACCACGCCACCTGGCCCCTGTCCTTAATGCTAAGAGGGGTGTTTTTTTTTTTTTTAACACTTTCCATGTTCTTCAAAACCAAGCAAATTGAATTATGTAAACTAGATTATAATTTTTTGTTAAAGAAATTTCCTAAAAATAATTATCTTTAATTCTATAAACGCCTTGGTTTTCTTTGAATAATATGTAACATATTATCCTTATTTTTTAAACAGCACTAGTTCTGCAAAGACTGCTCTTGGCCCAAGAGTTCTTCCTAAACTACCTCAGAAAGGTAAGATTTCTTTTTCATATTTTTATGCCATTAAAATGTCACCAGACCCTCCAAGGGGACAGGACTTTTGTCATGTATTCATTGATCTATCCCAAATATCTATGCAGTACCCGGCATGTAGTAGATGCCCAATAAATATTAAACAGAGAAAGAAGTTTATAAACTGAAACACAACAAATAGCGAAACACCATACTTCTCCTCAAATACGCAATGCTTTTTCAGAAGACGCATTATCATCATCCCCAAGTCCCATCTCTCTCATCATATAAACACAGTCAGAGAGCCCTGGGCACCACTAGTAGTTCTGGGCCTTGCCAGCCACGCGACCTCAGGCAGGAGACAGTGGCTTCACCAAGTCTCAGATTCCTTGTCTATAAATTGGGGTCGATACCTACTTTGCAAGGTTGTTTAAGGACGAGCTGAAGTCTTGCTTCGGACAGCCCCTAGCAAGCAGGTGGCAAAGGAACCCTTCCCTGGGCTGGCATCTGTCATGCGGAGCCGAGACCCTGCTTTGGGAGCACAAGAAGCCAGTGTCTGTCAGCGCTCCTCTGCCAGGCGGGGACACTCAGCTCTTTTACCAGCTCTTCTTTCATCCCGACCAGGCTTTCCACTCATCAGACCAAAGTTTCAGTCTTCGTATTGCTGGAAATGGTAGCGCCCCTCGCTTTTGTCACGTTGCCTTACCTTTGTGGTTGCAAAACACCTGCAGAGGCGTCTGGTTCAGCCGGTCCTTGGATATGCCGACGAGGCTGCAGGGCCCACGTTAGGTCCAGCAGGAGGCTCAGAGGAGCTCGGGTGCTCTGGATTTTCAAGGCTGTCAGCAAGACTTTGACCCAGCCCAGGGCTGTGTTGCCTGGTTTGAGGAGAAGCCAAACTAGAATTTAGGTTGGGAGGTTGAATTCAGCATTCTCCCAAGCTCTCCAGTAGATGATGCGTTTGGAAGAGCATTGACTAGCCGGGGGGGCTTCGTATGAGGGACATCCCAGATGGCGTTGGTTGATCCCTGTGGAGAAGAAACGGAGGCCTCCCTGTGGTGGCCGCAGCTTTCCTAGAGTTAGTTGTTGATGTTTAAACCCTGCCCAGTGGCTGTCCTCATCCCTCCTCCTCTGCCTGCCCACTTCCCACTCCCATACCTACCTCTCAGTTACCTTCTCCAGCGCCCGATCCCATCAGTCCCCCCCACACACACACAGCCTGCCATGGCCACTGCCACCTGCCCACCGTGCTCGTCCCCTTTGCAGTCTCCCTTCCCTCCTAAGCCAGCATCAGTCCATCGCCAGCATCGCTCCCTAACAACCTCCTCGCCCCTCCTGGGCTGCCTTCAGCCTGCAGGTGTGTCCCAAGGCGCTCAGGCAGGATGGCCACCTTGCTCTGCTCAGGACCGGCACCTCTTGCACTGTCCCTTTTTTCCTCAGGAGGACTTTGCAACCAAGTCCACCTCACCCCACCCCTGCCCCACAAAGGGGCTCAGAGTCCTCAGATAGCCCCTGTCCAGTCTTCTGTCACCCCCTGGGATGGTGCTGTGGCCCGTGCTGCTGCCCTTTGGCATCACTGCTCCCTCGGGGCCAGCCTGCCAGATCGTGTTTGTACTGTCAGGCTCCCGCCCCGGGCCCCCAGCC